TGCTCGAGTTTTGGGTCTTATTTTAAGTTTATTACACTTTATATGTGATCCTTTGTGCTAACTCTTTTATCAAGATTGTGTGTTTATTTTGTAATTCAGCACAAAGCTCCACAATGGGCTATCTGTGCTGTACCCACCACAGGTATCGAAACCCAGTTTCTAGCATTGCAAGTCTGCAGAAATACCGCTGTGCCACTGGGGCATGAAAAAAGTGGGTAATACAATGGATGTGCCCCTAGGTATAGAGTAGCTAGGATGTGATGGACTATACTTGATAAGTCAACTACATCCAAAACCAATGCTGCTGGTAACCAACATCTATGCAGAGGTAGGATGAGGATCATACCGTCTTTACCCAAGTGGATGAGATATGAGGTAGGTTGGAGGAAGGACTTCTCCAATTTGATTAACCAGTCCACCCAAGCAACCACTAGATGGAGCTGACGAGTATGGCTGGCCAACTCCAGAAGAAGCCAGTCGTCCATATAATGGTGGAATTGCAACCCGAGAGTAAGAATATGGTGAGCAAAAGCTCTAACCATCCGACAGGAAACATAAGGGATGGAAGCAAGCCAAAAGAGTAGGGCATGAAATAGATAAACCACCCTGTGATGGACAAACTGAAAATATAGATGAGACCATGGTGATATTGGGATGTGGAGATAGGCATTGGCAATGTCCATCTTGGTCATCCATAAGCCTGGTGAGAATGTCCACCGTAGGGTGAAAAATGACTCCATGGTAAAACAGAACAGTTGAATGAAGTGATTGAGGCAGAACAAAGCAATAACAGGCCTCCAGTCCATGGCTTTCTTGGGAACAACAAAGAGTCTGGAATAAAAACCTGGTGAAGGATGTTGAACAGTGTCAATGGTCTACCAAAATAGTAGTTGCCGAACCGCCTCCGACAGATGCTGGATGATCATGGGATCGTGAGGCATAGGGAAGGAAACAGGTATAGGAGACATACGAGGTGGAGAAAAAATGGGATCACAAATCCTTCTAATAAAACTTGAAGAACCCAATGATCCTTGACGAAAGGATACCAGTGATGAAGAAAATTGGCAGGCCAAGCTCTCACTGGACCAGAACCCCCAGGTAGTCACCGATACCGTTGGTGATGTCATGAGCATCGTTGAAAAAGAAAACAACAAGATGAGGCACCCTGAGAAGAAGAGACAGGTAAGGATTGGAAAGGGGAGGAACAGGAAATGATAACAGGTTCCATATTGGGCTCCGACTGAGACAAACGGTAACAAGGTTGAAAAGGGTAGACTGTTGTTGTACTGATGCAACTCGTGATTCCAAAGACATAGAGATCGTGTCAAAGATGCAAGTTAAGGTCACATCACAACCTAGAAGATCCCATTCAACAGAGAAACCACTTATGTAAGGCCAGAGCTGAAGACAACAAAAGAGCCAATGTGGACGAAAGAAGGGAGAGGATGTCCCCAGAAAACCCCCCTCAGGATTTCAGTGGAGAGCCTCAGAGACAAGATGGATGATAGACAGATACTGCAAAAGAGTTGTGAAGGTAATATGAAGGTGGGAAAATTGGACATGGGTCAGACTTAGAAGAGAGTCGAGGGCCACACCACAAACAGGCAAAATGAAACCTATCAATTGTTGGTCCAGAAAAGGACAGACTGCACAATAATATGCAAGAGCAAACAGATCTGAAGCACCTGTGGAGGGTGAGGCATGCTAATCCCATCACTTAATTGTGGGGAAAATTGGTCAGCATGTACCTGAATATCTGGGGGGGGGGGACTAAACTGGGATGGGAAGACTGGTCATGTAGAAAGGAAGTACACAGTTCTTAGGAAATAGGGGAAGGGATAAAACATCACATACCTGAGAAACAAAATCCAAAAAGACAGTATTAGGCCTAATTGACTCCTCAGGTGGGGCATGTAAAGGTACAGCAAATCAGGAGGTGGAAATAGCCGATCCAAGTCCTCGTCTGCCTGAACTGACTCAGTTTGTTCGGGAGGAAGTGGGGCAGGTTCCGGAGGCCGAAGTTGACCCATGTAATGTTCAATCTCCTGGCGAATAAACGAGGATAAATCCCCCAGCAGGTCACCTGCACCGGAGGCCTGAGACATAGTGCTAGTCACAGGTGTGCCCTCCGAAGTGGTAATATGGATTTCGGAATTCATAATGAGGAAAAGTCAACCAATAATTGAAACTATAAATAACAGTCTTAATAAAAACTAGAAGTAAAGATAAATGAAGACCACTTCGTGAGTTCATTAAAGACAAACGTGAAATTTAAACAAACAAAAAGGAACATGTCTGAGAACAAGCACTTCCAAAGAACAAGTGATAGTTCGGTAGAGGTGTATAGAGGGAGTCACATACGTCACGTGAATATGTCATGCTCCTATTGGTGATGCATGATGATTTACATGTTGGAATCAATCAATTCCAATAGGGGATGGAACAGAAGGCTTGTGGCATGTGTAAAGAAATAAAGAAAAAGTTTGCATATATAGGGAAATACCGGACAAGAATAGCTGATCTTTTGAGAGTAGGGAAGTACCATATCGGAAACATTGAACAATCTTTGCAATGTCAATTCTAGTATATTTTACACCATCACCACGAAAATTGTGCTATAAAAAGAATAAAAACATATAGTGATAAACTTTATTTGAAATAGTTAAATAGTAAAAAATTACATAACTCCAAATTTTTAAGGAAGGTGGAATCTGAAACTATGATTAATGAAAGAAATGTAATCTCAAAGTAAAAAGTAAATATCTTACAATTATTCATGCAAGGATTACAAAAAAATTTAAATAGTTTTACTGATTAATGAGATATAACAAGAGACGTGAATTTTCTGAGTTTCAGACTTCAATTCAGTGGAACAGCCAATGAGTAATAGTGTGGTGCCAGAAAGTCAATCAGACATCATGTTGCAAATACACAAGAACTTAAATCATTGCCTATAACACTCTGGAACATAGCTTATGTATTCCAAAAGGGCAATTATAACCAAGTTTTGTAGTACAATGCAGCATACCTCACAAATAGTGTGGCATAGAAGGGTGAAATTGAAAAGGAATGATAAAGGCATCATGTGGATGCAAATGCCATGATTGTTGCATGTTGCCATCATGGTTGTGGTAATATGACCTATGTCTGATTAATCACAGCAACTGTTAAAATGTGTTCCTCCATCATCCAAAATGCTTGCATCTTGTGACAATTGACATTACACCAACAAGATGCATCTCATCTAGTATACCAGTTACTTCCAAGACAATTGCATCCTTGAGGTTTAGAACTGTACAAGGCTTACCATGGTACACGTGTGACTTCAGGTATTCCTACAACCAGAAATTATTGGTGTTAGATCTAGTGAACGAGTTAACTGTTCTCAAGGAGAGTGACATGAAATACTTCTATCCTAAAAATGCTCCTACAAGACATGATTCACCTGGTTATAAATGTACAGAAAGTCATCATCCTGAAAATATATATCATATTTTGTTGCTACAGCATTGGAATCACATTGGTTTTGAGCATTTTATGGAACTGTGCAGGTTTGCAGTCCAATAACAAAGTCAAATGTGAAATCACATCACACTGTCACCTTAGCATCATGAAGGCGAGTACGAAATGGTATATGTGGATCAGTTTCTGACCAGATAATGCAGTTGCATGTGTTGACACTTCTAGAAAGAGTGTACAGAGTACTTTTCAGTCTATCAAATATTAGCAGACCACTAGTCACTGACCTCCAGCCTTGTCAAGAACTGCAATACAAAATCAACACACTGGGTTAAATCCATATTCTTCAATGTTTAAAAAGTTGACCAAAGAGCTTAATGAACAGTTGAAATTGGCAAATCCAGACACTGCATTACATAAAGTGCACTGCTATACCCAAGTGAAAACATGTGCTGGCTTGTTCTACTACAGCATAGCTGACCTCAGTGATAGTTTCAGTAGG